ACTAAAACAGGACTAAAAAGTCTCTAAGGTGAAGAAGACAGAAAAACAACACAGAAAGGAGATGTAGGTGGTGGTAAAAACCAAACCTTCACCATTTTCACTACATTGCTCTGCTACGTCATTTTGAATGTACCAACATCATACTCTATGAGCAATAAAAATAGAAGTTATCATTGGTATCTTTCAAATAAACAGTAGAAAAAGAGCTAGAATCATTTCAGGATGGCTGCATTTCTACCTGTTAAGAACATACCCTCTTACTGAAGTTTCCAAAGTCATTGTTGGGTAGGTTAATCACAGCAGTCACAGCTGTGTATCTCTTCCCAAAACAAAGTCATGCAGTTGAATTCTGAGAATTCATTTTCTGATTGACTTATTTCCAACCCCCCATCTCATTCAACAGCCCTGAGGTACTGTGTACCATGAAAATTTTAAAAAGGAAACCTCATTCCAAGTGGAATCCAGATCCCAGAAAGGGAAACTCTCACACCCTACCACCTGTCATCAATTGCAGACCCAACAGGAAGAGATAGACCTTGCAAGTCCATTCCACTTTACTGCCCCACAGGAGGAAGAAAGTTTGTCTACTTCCCTGGCAACAGCCCAGCCAATAAGAGACCATCAAACTGAGCCAATGAAAAGCCAGTATACTGCAAACTCCCAGTTTACTCCAATGGGCTTTTTGTTTATAACAGCCCTGCTCAATGCCTCCCTCCCCATAAAAGAGAATTTCTCTCCTTTGCTCTTTGTCTTGCCTATGGCTTTGCTTTAACTTGCTTATCCTGAATTGCAATTTTCTACTATTCCCAAATAAACCCATTTTTGCTGGTAAAATAACTAGCAGCTTAATTTTTAAGGTTAACAGTACATAAAACAATTTAGAGAGTTTTGTGGAAACAATCTTTAAATTTAAGGAAATGAAGTAAAGAGAAGATTAAAATGCACTGACAAGCAGCAATTTGTTGAAGACGCAATGAGTTGGTGTCTCTACTATAATTCACAGAACTGAGAGTGTGTGTTTTTGGAGTATGCGTCCTATGAATTAAACTCCCTACTTGTCATGTTGTCGCAGTAAAATTAGAGGCAAATTCCTTTGAATTTGAGTGTTTCAGGCATTTGTCTGAAGTAACTCACTAATGGGTAGGATTTTAAAAATGTGTATAGTTCTCTCCAACCAAGAACAATCTTCTCACTCTCGGGCATTGGAAGATGGCTCTAAATAGCAGGTTCATTTATTTCTATGCACCTGTGATTTTGCTCCTAAGTGGTATGAATAGCCTGGTATCTGGTTCAAAATCAGGACTTCTCTTATCCAGATTACTCAGCTCCCATTACATTTACAGGTGAGTCAAGAAGGCATTCTCTGATGTTTGTGATACTGCCTTCTATGTAATGCTTGAAGAGAAAAGAGAGGTAATTATTTAGCTAGTGGGGTGGTAGAGAAGAAAAGGTATCTTCTCATTGTTTTAAATTTAAACAAAGGACATATCTAAAATGCTTTGTGAGGCACTCCTAGACAGATATTTTTTTTTTTTAAGATTTATTTATTTACTTGAGAGAGAGAGTGGGGGAAGGGGCAGAGGGAGAGAATATCCAAGCAGACTGCTGCTGAGTGTAGACCCTGACATGGGGCTCGCTCGATCCCATGACCCACGAGATCGGAACCTGAGCTGAAACCAAGAGTCAGATGCTTAACCAACTGAGCCACCCAGGCACCACTAGATATTTCTTTTCTTTTTCTTTTTTTCTTTTTTTTAGAGATTTCTATGTTCCTACATCAATCATTTTCCTGGTTGCTGATAAGTGAATCATAATCCATAGCATCTCACATATCATATTATGGTAAGCAATGTAGACAAACACATTTCTTATCACCCTCTTAAACACATACAAACACCTGTTGACTTTAACTCTTCACAGTTCTACATTAACTAAACAGTCTATATGATGTTGACCATCAGTTCTAGGTCCACATTAAGATTAAATGAGGCAAGAATCTAACCTATTAATGAATGACAGGGAGATTTTGGTCTTTCAATTTCCCTTTGGAGAACTTGGAAGAAAATGAGGCAAATGGAAAGAAGGGGGTCTCTCCCCATGACTGTCAACCACCTTATGCAATGTATTCATTTTTCATTATTCATTTTTTACTGTGATATGGATCCAGGCAAAATGACTTTGTATTATCCCCAGGTTATTAGAAGAGTCTGATTGCTTGGAGTAAATTCCTTGGATCTAAGGAGTTTGTATGTACAATATAATTTTTTCAACCAAGGAGGAAGTTGAGTTTCTCTGTGAAGAGCATCTTTTTTTGTTTGCTGGTTAGCTGGTTGGTTGGTTATTTTTTGTTTTTTATTTTTTGTTTTTTGATTTTTTAATTTAAGGATGTAGAGATGCTCCTGGGGACTCATGCCGCCCATTCCAATCTCGCAGGTGGTGGTTCCAAGTGTTCTGCTCACACAGTGCACACCGGGGCTCCATGCTGGGCAGCACAAGGCAGGGCTGGGCAGGGCTAGTGCTGGATGAAGAGCATCTTTGCAGAGTCAACTCCCTGCTTTAGAGCACCTCCCATAGTTTCAGCCCATTAACCCGAGCACAACAGCTTGATGAATTAATGCTTATATAGGCACAGTTGGCAGCTTCTAATTAAATAATTACGGTTAAACGTCTGCACAGAAGCTGTTATGCACCCTAGAAAGCCAGCTGTCAGTTTTATTGGTCCTAAGACAGAGGAAGAGTTAATACTTAGCTCTGAATGTTAGGTACAAAGGGAAGTATATCACATAAAATATATATGCTGTGCAATATGAAGTTGCATTGTGTTTGTGCTAGCCTGTCCATGAGTGATGGAGAGCAAACTGCTCCTCAGCAACCTCTCAGCAACCCAACAAAGAAGGAAGCAATTATATGATCAGCAGAGCAGAACCTGTTCAGAGCAATATAAAGAGGACATAGTGTTAGACGGATGAGTCTTTAATGAACACACAAATATCACTGAGCTAGCAGGGAAATACATGTCAGATTCTGGGTCTCATTTAGATGAGCAAGTGATAGAAATCTAATGTGGTCCTTTTGGGGGGCGGGGGTCATGGTTGGTATGTTTTCATTTATTTGCCTAAAGCTTCTCAAGGTGCTATTTTATTAGAAATTGGAGAACAAGGTAAATATCACAAAACTAGATTTGAACTCTTTCTAAGATACATTTTTCCAAAAGAGTTAGGAACAGATATTTTTCCTACAGAATTACAGATAATGTCAGATTCCTTCACAGAAGGCTAAAAAGCTAAAGTCTTATCTCTACACCCAAAGAAAGAAAGCAGTATCTGGTGACTAAGCTCCAGCATCGAGGAAGATATAGATTATAGATAAAGGCCATCGATAGGGTTGTTGGACCAAATAATGCTTGTTATTACACATCAGTATGTTGCTGAACTGATAGCTGGCTTCATTTTCCTCTGCAGGCTGTCCTTTCCACACAATCCGTGGGTCCTCACTTCTAAAAATCTAATGGGTGATACCCCAGCACAGAACAACTCAGCTTGCCACTGGCCTCTTTACCACTGTTTCCAGCACCATCTCCACATGAAGAAACACAACCGTAGGCAAAAATCAGTCCCAGAAATTCAGTTGTCCCTTTATGTTTAAAAAAAAAAAAAAACTTAGAAATTTTAATCCCCAAATTTATGGATTTGCCTTAGAATGAGAGGAAACTGAATGCTAACATGGAAACATTTCTTATGGAATTCACTTTACCCAACTCCCGGGTCCTGTTGAAAATCCACTGTTAAACCAAGCACTAAACTTTACAGACTGATTTACTGTTCTCCCTTCAGAGATCAATGGCTTATGGTTTATTTAGAACAATGCCATTTCATAAAACAAAGCAATCTGTAGCATAAATCGTCATGTAAGCCAATGGACTGACCTCTAAGAAACGCTTACTTAAAAAGCTCCAGAACAACTGTTTCCATGCCTTTTTTCCCCCTTGATTTCCTTTTATGTCAGTAATTCTATCACCTCAGGTGTCTGAAGATACCTGCTTGTGACTGACAGTTCTCAAAGATCTAGTTCCTTCTGGATGGCTCTTACATGAAGTTCAGTTTAATTAAGTCTGCAGTGCAACTCAAGTCTCAGTACAAAATGCTAAAGAATCAAACAGCAGACCTGTAAAGGCTATAAAAGCGAATCTCAGACGTGGTAGGGGAGCCCGGGGGTCTTTTGTCAGCCTATGCTGCCGTCTACCTAGTGCCGTCTACCTATCCGAGACCACATCCTTCTGCCCAATGGCCATTTGTGTTCTCAGAGCCCCTGATGAAAGCAAGTCTCCATCAACTGGCTTAACAGGTCCCAAAGTTCACATCAAAGAATGGGGTGGCTGGGTGATAGACATTGGGGAGGGTATGTGCTATGGTGAGCGCTAATGAAGGGGGGCGGAAATCGGAGGGGGAGACGAACCATGAGAGACTATGGACTCCGAAAAACAAACTGAGGGTTTTAGAGGGGAGGGGGGTGGGGGGATGGGTGAGCCCAGTGATGGGTATTAAGGAGGGCACGTACTGCATGGAGCACTGGGTGTTACACGAAAACAATGAATCATGGAACACTACATTAAAAAATTAATTAATTAAAAAAATAAAAAAATAAAGAATGGACAGCACCACCTCATCCACTCAGAGTCTGCTAACCTCCCATGGACCAACAGCCAAGTTCCAGCCATCGTCTTCTCCTCACAATCCCATATCTGGCAAACAGACATACATGTCTGCCTCCAATCCCCAAATTACCTAAACCAACATCATTTGCATAGACCTTTGAATATTCTGATGTTACTGATAAAACAGATAAAAGTTGCCTTAGATAAAATGTGAGACCTGATTTAGAACCTCTAATACTCTAGTTATACCTCAGGAGTTTAAAAAAATCCCAAATGGTATTCCTTAGACACTGACTGAACATGCAGACCATAAACAACTGCAAAGAGAATTGATACAGATGAAAAATCAAAAGAACCCTTTGTACTTACGGTAGAAGACATATTCAGTGTAGCTTGACCAGATCTTGTCATCTGTATACTGGTTGACAAAAGATGCTGTCACTGAGGAGTTACAGGCCACCATGTGGAATCCACACTCTGACAACATATCAAAAGCCCTTTCCAGATGCTTGAATTTGAGATAAAATCTGGAGGTGTATCTTTCTGGGGCTCGGTCAGGGTCTCTGCTCTCATTCAAAGTTTCTCCAAAGACCTCTTTTGCCAAGGAAATCCTTCCGCAAACCAAAATCCGGGGAACTCTCCGAAACTTGGCATCTGCCTGCCCTTCTCTGCCCATAGTGCAGGACCCCCTGTAGCCCACTGTAATGAAGCCCCATTTGCGGTCCGCAGGGAGCACTGAGGAAGGAGGGCAGATTCTCGTGTCGCTTCCTTGAGAGGCATCTTCAAAGTCACTGTGGCAGAATTCGTCCGGGCTTTGCTTGATTTCATCAGGGGTCAGGAGTTTGACCAAGTCTGGGAGCTGGAAGTACTCAGCTTCCCTTTTCAGTCTTCCCCTTTCTGGAAAGTGATCAGGCAGGACCACCTGCCTGTCCCTGAGATAGTCCAGAATATAACGGAACAAGAATCCATCTCTGTCAATGAAAAACCTTCCTTTGGAGTCCTTGGCTAGATCGTTAGCCGTGTCTCTCTTTGGGGAAAACATTTTCCACAGGAGGGAATGAGGGATGCTTATTAATGTGGAATGGCGGGTGAAATAAACTTGACCCCCGACATTCAGCTCCACGACCTCAGGGAAGGAGTTGGGAACTGCAGCCCCCTGTTCTCGAGGATAATAACGACTACAGTTTCCACTTAAAGCCATTGTCCCTTTCTTCTTGCTCTTCTCCTATTTTGATTTGAAGGTGAAATCCAGTGGAGTCACAGCCTTATCCTTTGCATCAACTTATCAAAGAGGGAGAAGGATGCTAACTTGTTAAAAACGACCTTCTCTTACCCCAGTTTTTTTTTCCCCCAAGGAAGCAAAATTTAGAAGAGTCCACAGGTGAAGTGATGCTGCAAAAGTAGTTTAAACCCTGGCTGGTGGTGAGCTATTACTTCATAGAATATAACCAACTCATCTCCATCCGATCTGCCCCAAGCTCAGTAGGCAAGGCAGGCCAAGTCCCCAGTTACTCAGAGGTCTGTCTGAAGGAAAAGAGAGAAAATTATTTCCTCAAACCCAGCATGAGTCAGAAAAAGAGACACCACTGGAGAGAGGGGAGGGAGGGAGGGGGGGAAGTAGGGAGGGAGGGAGGGAGAGATTATTTTACATAAGCAGCCCTGGAACTACTGATTTCAGCCATTCTTCAACTAAATTGTAGCTTCTCTCAAGCTATTTTGTGTCTACATGTTTATCCATACGCCTCTGTCTCCAGCAATTAGTATTAAAAATATTTCTATTGGTATTTCTGCTTTAAAAAGGAATATATGATTTTCAACTTTTAAAAGGGGATTTTTTTTTTTTCTCCAAGATGGGCAGGAAAAGCAGTAAGTCTCAGAACTTACCTTAGTGAGTGCTGGAAACCCAGTTCCTGTGAAGAAATACCCATTTGCAAAGGAATCAGAATCCACAGCCAGAGTCGAGCTTGTCAAATCCCAAAGAGGTAAAGGACAGAGGTATCAATGAAAAGTGCCAAAGAGATGTGCTCTTAGAAAATAATTTTATATAGATATATGTAAATATTTATATAAATGTGTATTTGTATGTATGTATATAGGTATGTATTCACTCCCAATGTCAAGTTGAAACAAGTCACAGAAAAGTTAAAGCGTAATGAGAGGTGGTTGGGTTGAAGAAGCAAGGCAGAGAAAAATATCCAACCAAAGCCTCTCCAGTAAAAAGGGGAAGAAAAAAAAAAAAACTCAAACCTTTAGAAAGAATCCTTAAAACAGAAGAGAGTTGGAAGAGGTACTGGGACTTAGAAGCTTTTCAGAAAGCCCAGGAGCAGAAAGAAAGCCAGATAGATGTGCCCTGCTGGGGTCCCAGGTAGCCACCCCACCTGCCGGCAAGGGCAAACGGACTCCCATGTTCCCGTGCAGGTGGGAGCCGCTGGGAGCCCGGCCGCCGCAGCGCAGAGAGGCCGCGGGGGGCTCGGGCTCGGGCTTCTCCGGCGGGCGGCGGAGCTGGGTGGTTCCACAGTTCCCAGTGCAGTTCGGATGCTGTTGTTTCAGCAGTGCAGGCAAGATACCATCCAGGGAAATGACTATTACATCATCTTAAAGGAATATGGCTTGGAGAAAGCGGAGGCAGCTCCGAGTCACGTCGTCCTCGGTGACAGGTCGCCAGGACTGCACGGGGACGCGGCGCACCGGCCGTGGCACGCGACTGCCCGGCTCCGCGCTTGGGGCGGGGACGCGGCGCCGCGCAGCCACTTCCCTCCGCGTCCTGCCCGCGAGTCTGGAGTTTGCCGCGGCCTTCGCATTGCCTTTTCTTCCTGCTTCCTGCCTTTTACACCTCCACCAACGCCACCCTTCCCCAGAAATAACCCCCCACCCCAGCGGTGACAGAAACACAAGTGCTTTTGCATTTGAAAAATCTACAAACAAACCCTTTGCACAGGCACTGAATTTCTGCTGAAGGGCAAATTTCGCCTCCATATAGGCTTTTTTAAGAAAGAAGAAGAAAGCACACCGAATGACCCCAATGTTCAAGCTACAAAGGGGTTTTCCTTAAAAGCAAAGGGGATTAAACCATGTTTTCCTTCAGATGCCCTCTCCCCCCGCCCCCGCCCCACTTCTTCTCCATCCCTGTGCCACCCCAACCCCAGCAAATGAATAAATAAATACAGTCTCTCTGGAATTAATGATGCTCTTTCCAAAGAATACGTGAAGGCAATGGTACGCTCAGAAAGCCCACAGCTGACATCAGTAAGTCATTATCTCAGCTTACCTGCAAGAAATTGTTACCTGCAACCTTTTTCTGGGGCTGTGTCTTTCCTGAGCCTCTCTTTGGACATGCCCCAGCCCCCTCCCAACTCATCCCAAGAGGACTCTGGTGGAAGACACGACCGGCTAAGAGACATTTTACTCCTGTCCCAGAGGGCTTCCTTAAGTGCATCATTAGAGTTTCAGGAAGGCATTTCCAGGGCAACCTAATCCACTAACAAAGTGCTTCCAGTTGATCCTGCCAGTCAATAATGGCCCAGCCAACAGCTTACAGTAAGTCGACCATTTCTCCTTTAAAATGCCAGTGTCTTAGGACTCACCCTCCTAATCAGAATATAGTATTTCATCTATGAATAATACATGTGAGGCACACTCCATCCCAAATAATTGCTATTTTTTTTAAAAGTGAAAGCCAAAAATGGAGTTGAAAGTATGAATTAGATACATTTTAAGGGATCATGTGTTTATTGCCAACTCTTGCCCCAAGAATTAGCTTAAAGGTAGACTCAGCAGCAGGATAAATTAATTTTTAGTTTAACAATCTTTTCTTTCAATGAGTATCAGGTTACTGAACACGTATGGAATATTAGCTAACACTCCAACACACCTGATTATATTTGACTTTGTTTCTTTAACTAATGTATTAACCTGTTCTGGCCTCAATCATTGGGATTTTAATGCTGGACCAATCAAGGGAATGTTTATTATTTGGTGCACTTATATCGCCATCTAGTGTCCATAAGCTATCAGTGCAGATCTGTAACTGACCATTTACCCCAGCAAAAAGTTAGATACTTCCTGGTTTTGAAGTTTTTATATTTGTTTAAGTATGACCACACACACACTGTTCACCGTGATGAAAAATAAAAATTTCGTTGGCACAGGAGAAAGGAAAAAATAAGTCTGAGTCCATGCCTAGTAAGTACCGGGCTTAGTTGTAGTTAAAAATAAGCAAATATTTCATTTTATTTTTAGCAGAATGGGCCAGTACACCACAACAATAGCTTTGGAGATTGGGTATTAAAATATCCTGGGGACAGGGGCGCCTGGGTGGCTCATTCAGTTAAGCATCCGACTCTTGATCTCAGCTCAGGTCTTGATCTCAGGGTCATGAGATCTCCACACAAGGCATGGAGCCTACTTAAAATATATATATATATTCTGGGGACAGTTTGGCAGGAAGTGAGGATTGGGAATAAGAAACACCATAGGCTTTTAAAGCTCAAAGGAACTTGAGAAATGGAAATTACCATCTCACCTTAGAGATATAGAAACTGAGGACCAGAGAGGGAAAGAACGTCCACAAGGTCACACAGCTGTGGAGTAGCAGGATGGGGTTTAGATCACTGCCTACTCAGTATGATCAGTTTTTTGAACTGCATGTATTGTAGAATAGGGATGGAGAGGAGGCAAATAAAGAAAACAAGAATTTCAAGACTACACATTTGAAAAAAAACCCAGCAAGTCATTTTAAAGAGTTTTCAGGGCACCTGGGTGGCTCAGTTGGTTAAGCGACTGCCTT